TTAAATTTATGAAAATGTTCTATATCAGTTATGTCAATATGTGGCTATTCTAGAACTTCATATTTAAAAATGTAACTTATTTCGAATACTATAAAACAGTTTGCGATTGGTGACCCTTACACTTAGTGTCTCTTATAAGTAATGTAAATTTCTTGAATATTAGCGAGATCTTGAACTGTCGAGATCTAAAACGTTACAAATAAAATGACTCCTGAGATTATTTTCTTTATTAGTATATTGAAAAATCCAAAAAATTTAGCAGGTGTTCCAGGTTTCTGTCATTAGCATCTATCCCAGTTTATGTTTTATAGAACTAATTAAAAATCTAAAATATTGCATCACTTCTCATTGATTAATCCATTATTTGAGTAAATTGCTTACTACATCTCTAATGATTAAAATTTGTTTGACATTACATAAGAAATTATGCAAGAAGGTATGGCTCAATTATTTACCAGAAAAATAACTTCTTGTAATGTTCATGTGTGAATTGTTATAAGAAATCGATCAGTCGATTTTGCGATCAGCTAGCTTTATCCGATTTTTTTCGTTATTGCTAGGATCACTACTTTGAGTCTGCTTTACGAGTATCTTTTCGTTAAACTATTCGTTCAATATTAAATTATAATCTTATCTATTGATTAAAACTCCAAAAACATAGGAATAACTAATCACCTTTTCAATATCATTTTTACTAAGGATAAACTCTCCCACTAATTTACGATCGGCATTATATTCTTTGAGATACTTATTTACATTGGAATAATGTTTTTTTGTTGAAATATGATCGAAAATATGCTCACTATAATAAGAAAACCATTTCAACTAGTGTTAAATTCAATTTTTGACCCTATTTTTTTGAAAAAAGAGTTAAGCTATACTAACCAAACAATCTGTCTTTCTTCACTTTGAGAGGTAGGCTTCACTTCAACTTCACAAAAAAATACACCAAAAGTCCGGTTGCTTATTTGTATCATAAGCAAATGTGACATCTTTAATAAAAATTTTGTATTTTTGGTATTCCTATTGCAATGTTTTATGAACTAATGGTCAATGGTTAATAGTTCAGTTTACAAAAGAGGCACGCTCTACGTACAGATTTTTGTTTGTCAAGCTTTTTTTGTAGGCGTTCCTGATGAAATTTGGTGTATAAATGTCTTTTACCTTGGCAAGTGTTTCGTTTGCAGATCGTGCAAAATGAATAAGCCATTTTTAAAAAAAACGTAAAATTGAAATCAACTGATTAAATTCAATTGATCTTGATTGTCAACAAATAAGCCAATCACCATCGACAAATTTTGAAAACATATTGTATATATATATTGGCGTTTTTTTTTTTTTATTCCTTCCTTAACCAGCCTTTTTGTTTAAAATGACTCAGGAGACGAATCACCAGCAGAATAACCAGCTCAACCGTAGTCAGCCTTCCCCTCAATTAGTCTCTCTTCTCCAAGGCAAACTTAACACTTTAGTAGGCAAATCATCTGGTTATATTGAGAATCTTCCCGAAGATGTAAAACGTCGCATCTGTGGTTTAAATTTCTACCAATCTGAACATGCAAAATTGGAAGCAAAATTTCAGGAAGAGATCCTTGCGTTAGAAAAGAAATATTTAAAACTCTATCAACCTTATTATGAAAAACGTGCAAAGGTTGTTCGTGGTGAATGCGAACCAGCCGAAGAAGAGATTACGGCTGGCGCGTCGCTTTTCGAAAAAGAAAAGGAAAGGCAGGCGCAAGAAGGTGATCCAACTACTGAAGAAAATAAAGATGTACAAGGAGATCCAGCAGCTGAAAAAAGTAAAGAAGTACAAGAAAGTTCTGGAGGCCCCTGCAAGGGTATCCCTGAGTTTTGGCTTACTGCCATGAAAAATTTATGCACAATTTCAGATAGCATCACTAAACGCGACGAAGAAGCATTAAAACATCTAATTGATATTCGCATCTCATATCTTGAAAATCCTGGCTTTCAGCTTGAGTTTGAATTTGAAGAAAATAAATTTTTTTCTAACACTCTTTTGGTAAAAACATATTACTATCAAGATGAACCTGGATATGGTGGTGATTATGTATATGATCATGCTGAGGGCACAAAAATTGATTGGAAAGAAGGCATGGATCTGACTATCACGGTTGAAACGAAAAGACAAAAACATAAAGGCAACTATTCATTGAAATAAATATATCATGTTTTTCTTTTTGCATTCACATATATATAGTTTACAATTAGTATTCTATTTATAGGTACCAACAAGACTCGAGTGGTAAAGACTACAGTACCTGCTGCATCATTCTTTCAATTTTTTAATCCGCCTCCGCCAGATTGTGAAGAGGAAGATGATGACGATGATTTGGACTCACGTCTTGAACTTGATTACCAAATTGGTGAGGATATAAAAGAAAAACTTATTCCTCGTGCTATTGATTGGTATACTGGTAAAGCTTTAGAATATGAAGATATGTTTGATGATGATGAATTCTTTGACGAAGGTGATGACTATGATGAAGGTGATGATTATAATATTGATGACGAAGAAGACGACGGTGACGATGAAGGAGTAAGTAAATGTCTTAGGACATCTCTAACAATATTATAAAGTTTTTTTTTTTTTTTTTTGTTCTACCATACGTTCGTGGTGATATTTAGTAAGTATCTGAAAATACTTCAATTTGAAGGGCGTTTAGTTGAAAATAGGTTAAGGCCACGAAAAATTTGGGGCTGCTTTGTATATTTGGGAGATATATATATTAGTTTCCCGGGAAAATATTAGTTTAAAATTCTAGATTATCTTTATTTTTTCATGATATATTATATTTTAATGATTAGCTTAGAATAGTTAGTATATAACATGAAGGTCATTAATAAGGTCATAATGAATCGTAAAGTTTTTGTTATCGTTTTTTCCTATCACTTTCACTTTATTATACCGTTACATTAGCTTATTCTTAACTTTTACTATCCTTCTATCTCATTTTTACATAAATTGACATGTATCTTATTATTTAATCCATAATATTTGTTTCTCTATCAACTTTTTGCAGGCCGGCGGAAGGAATGGGGAGGTTGGTAAATATAGATTTTCAAATTATTTGATATCTTTAACTCGTAATGAGATTGTTTTTACGTATTCATGCAAATTTACAATTATTAGAGCGACCTGAATGCAAGCAACAATAGAACTGACTGACACGACAATTGATTTATTGGTTGTAATGAAATCCCTTTTCACACTATCTTTTTAAAAATCCTTCCGTCCATGAAATTTACATCCAACATTTCATTACTAAATAAAATTCATTATTTGTTCAATTGTGTTAAAACGTTTATTTGGTACTAATAGAATCAATAATATAAATAACTTTCTATTATTGATGAATGGTTAAATGGAATAGAAAATTTTTTTGAATATAAATGTAATCTTTTTTAAGTTTAGATACAGATTCCACAAAATATTTTGGTATTTAGAAATAGTAAAAATTACAATAATTGCAAATCACGGTACACAATAATTATGTAAATTCTCTGTAAGAAAAAATTAATACATTTTATCATGTATTATTTTCACTTTACACCCAGTAATTTGATCTGCATACAATATGAAAGACATAAAAATTAGGAATTATATTAATAATATGTGAAGATAATTTGATCAACAGTACCTGAAACTCGAGGGTAGCATTCTTCGGTATAACTATAGATAGCAAGAGACCTGAATCAACCTGCCATTGTTATATACATTTAAGTCAATATAATGGACAAAATGAACTAACCTGGTGGACTTCCCGCATTACCATAAGCTTGTTGCGGTGGAATTGTTAATTTACGTTCACCACCAATTCGCATACCAGAAATTCCTATTTCCCAACCTAACAAAGTTTTGGATAACAACATTATTAACGGGTTGGAAATCAATTATAAAGGTATCATATAAAAACGTACCTTTAATAACTTCTCCTTTACCTAAGGTAAAGTGGAATGGCTTCCCACTAACATTTTTATCAAAAACTTTGCCATTCATAAGTCGTCCGATGTATCGGACATGAACCTAGAAAATATTTAAATTTGTTTTAAAATAATATTTGTTTAAAATAATTTAAAATTTTTAAACCTTCAATCATCACTACCTGCTTGCCAGGTTTTGCCATTCTTCCACTACCTAATGAGAGGTCTTCAATTAAAACACCTTCGGGAGTTGTGATACTTCCCTAAAAATTATAAAATTACTTTAATAATAATTCGTAAAAATTCGACTCATAACAAGCCTTAAAATTATTATAATTATACCTTCTTCTCTTTAGAATCAGAGTCCATTAGGTCTTTATCTCTCGGTTCCGCATTTTTATTGCCGTCTTCAGTCTTTGGTTTTTCGGATTCTTTTGTTAAAGTTTCGGTTTTAACATCTACTGGTTTTTTTTTGTTTCGTTCTTTATTTTTTTTCTGTCATTTATAAATTAATTAGAATTAATTAATTAAAAAACTACATTTATGAACTGAAAATAAAAAAATCGAACCTTTTTTTGTGCCTTTGATGACACATCTACGCTCTTGGGTTCAGTCGGCACATCTGCGCTCTTGGGTTCAGTCGACACATCGGCGCTCTTGGGTTCAATCGACACATTTGCGCTCTTAGGTTCATTCGACACATTTTCAGTCTTTTGTTTTTTTGCTGCACGTACATTTTGTTTATCTTTATTATCATCATTTGTCCTTTTATGATGTTTACCATTTTCATCTTTAATTTCTTTTTTGACGATTGCTTGATCCGAGAAACTATCTCCCTCACTTAAATCTTCATCTGAGTCATCTTCTATGTTGGCTATTGCATCTTTGCTCTGTGTATGAATTCGTTGTATAAATGCTATGAATATAATATCACAAAGTGTAGAGCTGTTGGAAACCCACTTACCTCGAATGACGATGATTCGGACGATTCGTCATCAATATTGAGCATTCTCTTCACGTTCATGTCACCATTCGGCTCACATGTTATTGAAGAAGAAAGTTCTTCAGGTCCACTTTCTGAATCATGATCGATTATTTTTATATAATTTCCCGTCAAATGTATCTTGCTGTGATTGACAACACTTTGTTAAGAACTAATCATTAACATTCTATATATTTAGACATGAATATTTATATTCGCATCTTACTTGTGTCCAACAGAATATAATTTAACATCCTCTCCTTTCAATAAAGTAACATTTAAATTTTGTTGCTCATGCTTATTTTAAAGGTTGAAATGGTTTAAAAAAAATTATCAAAAAACAATTACAAATACAAAAAAAAAGTTTAATCTCGATTTTACCATTCCAGAAATCAAATTACACAAAACAAACTTCTTATTATTTGTTTCTATAAAAAGGGTTGTTCGAAGATCTTCTTCTGATTCCTCAAGTACTAATGCCGCCTTTAATCGCATTATCATTGAAATTTGTCACGGATAACGTTTTTTCATCAAGTTTTACACGAATTCAAGAATTCTCAATATATACCATATATATTTTAAAATTATACCGGACATTTTGGCTGTAAGTGAGTCCAGGTTCGATCTCAAGACCTAAATTAAAGTAATAATCAAACTTTAGAATAAAAACAATTAATACATAGAAAGTTATCAAACTTTATATATACCCCAAAAACCTTTCGGAACCTTCATTTTGAATCAGTGAAAAAAAGATAAAATATTTCTGATTACGATAAATATAGAATTTTTATCAATTACCGATTTGGATTAAGCGTATACGATTGGTTGGATTATGTGATACGTCAGTAAACTTATATATATACCAGTACTCTGCATGCATTAAGTGCAAGTCATTTATTGTTAATCCTTCTGTATTTGATTCAGAATAGATTGTTGGATTCTTATCGCAATTATATTGTTTGCATCATTAATTCATTGGCTTATCTGCCATTTCTTGCGTTGTTGTATAAATGGGAATTAATCTACCATGAAACAATTTGGAATATTTTGAAGCTTACTGTTTCAATT